CATTTCAGCCACATCGTCACAAGCCTCGATAGGTTCGATCCACGCACCGCCTTAACTTCTGCCTTTTCGTAATTCAGCCACATCTTCACAAGTCTCGGTAGGTTAATCCACGCACCGCCTCCGCTTTTGCCTTTTCGCAATTTAGCCACTTTAGCCACATCTTCACAAGCCTCGGCAAGTTCGATCCACTCACCGCTTTGGCTTCTGACTTTTCACAATTCAGCTGGTTCGATCCACCCACCATCTCGGCTTCTTCGCCACCTTTCTCAATCACAGCAACACCATAACAGCAAGCATCACATACTAATCCGAACATGGTAACACTTTCAACTCCAACCATAATATAAATATCTATACTTGGACTTGGGGGACTACTATTTAGGGTACAAAAATTCTTTCAATTTTTTTCACACAATCGCTTCACCACAATAAAAGTCCACGTATTACATAAATGACCATACTTAGACTTGAGGGACTATTGTTACATGTTGCCACACTTGACCGACCTATTGGGCCCATGGTCCACTTATACTTAACCGCTTGATATCTTAGCCGAGGCTCCCAAGCCTACTGAAGTCAACCAACCTACTTAAACAACACCTATGACATGATCCAAATGCTGACACCAAAGTGAATAGACCGAGGTGGTCCACCTTGCTGAGGCCCTTCTCACCGAGGTCCAGATGCCCCAAGCAGCTCCTCGCCAAAAATTCGGTCTTACACAAGGATCCTTCTTGATTGATTGATGGAAAACCCATCATAGAGTGCAAGTGTTTTGTCTTGTCAACCGTCAATTAATAAATGTGTAGCAGGCTAAAAAGTCAAGTGTGATATCTATAATTTGATTTGCGAACTTGTGAGATGAGGCCACGTGTACTCCCAATCGAGGGCCACGATCTAACTTGTAATACTATAAATACTCCCCCATGTATTTCTCACGAGGATAATGCAAGATTCAATATAAGAACTGAGATTATACATTCTTTGCTCTTTTAACACACTTTATACAACTTTATACAATGATCTGTTTACCGTCTTGCAATACAATACTATACGAATTTATATTCACATTCTACAAGGATCGATTGATAATTATTGTACAATCGTTATGCAAACATCTCACAGGATTTCAAACGTTCTCGTCCCGCGCCTTTGAGCCGCTCCCACGCCCCCTTTACTGCTAGTTCTAGACTGCCACGTGTCTTAGCGTGTTGGACCAGGTTCACGTGTGCACAGTTGGGTCTGGTATCTGTTGGTAACATATTCTGGGGTCAACAGTTCCCATTAAAGAGACGTAGACTCTTGATGAGTATTTAAACATAACTAGTTTTAAAACCCCTTAAGAAGTTCAAATACTTGAAGTAATAAGGCTTGAGATATGTCAATAAGTTATGTCATTATGAAGAAATAAATAGAATCGAAAAGAAAAGATTGTCGACAAAATTTTTTCACATAATGTAATGCATCATATAGGAAGGAATCAAAATAAATGTGTCAAAATATATTGATCGAAGAATGGTTAGCCAAATAAATAGACACAATCCTAGCAGTTTAAATTTTACTACAGAAGTCTGGAATTTCTAGATCTACCATCCGAACACCAAAAGATCTATACTTATGCGAAATGAAAATGAAAAAAGTAAGGTTGTAATATGGAATGTATGATTATTTAAATGTTGAATTTTTTGAAGACTTATATAAATAGATAAGTTATCATGTAGTGGATGTAATCACAAGCCTCCACCTTATTAGTCCGACAATACATGAAATTTGATATGTATATAATAAATGTAATTTTAGGCAATTTATCTTATATATATTTAATACTATTATTGAAAGATTTAATATGTTTGAAACATATAATTCAAGTAACATTATCATGAAGGAGAGTAAATGAGCATTGTACTCTTTTTTAAAATTTTGATGATGTATATTCTTTGTATAATTTCCACTACATACAAGATATTTTTGCCCCCAAACTAATTTTTTTATGTATGAAACTCTTGAAAAGATCAACAAGAGCTATTTTTCAAATCATCATGTTATTACAATCACTAAATATCGACAAACATTTCGTATGAATGCAGTGTTATTTGAAGAGATTGACATACAATATATCAATATTGAAGTATATGTGAGCAGTGGAGGAGCTAGGAATTACTATTACGGTGGGCTAAAAATTTTGAAATTTTAATGTACGACTAAAATTTATATATAATAAGAGAAATTCATAATATAAGTTACCTATTGAAGTTGTACTCGGCGATATTTTATAGCATAAAATTCATCTATAATAGAATCTAGATCTAAATTCATACTAAATTCTCGTTCAATGTTTAGTGTTAAACAGTCAGCAAGAATTATTAAATTATAAAATTTCCAAATAACTCAGGAAAAGTCAAATTATATCGTTATTAAATTATATAATTTCCAAACAATATACACCCAACGATACATTTCAAGTGATTTTAGGAATATCCAAAATAATTGCGAAAGATTAAAATTCCAAAATACAAGATTTAAGTTCCCCCTTTACCTTAAAAAATAAAACTACGTCCACCAATCTCCACCACAAGCTAACTTTAAAAATTCGATCTGTGCCCAAAACAATCTGCAAATTTCGAATCTGGATGCGATTACTCAATTTTTTTTCACCAATCACCCTATTACTGTAAAACTTAGCACGAACAACTGAAGAAATCTTTAAATAGCTGTACATAAAACAAGTAATTATTCTCGAAAAATTATTCAAAATACATCAAATTACCAATTCAATTTTAACATTCAGATTTGAAAAAAAGAAAGGGTCACGGATAGGACTCACCGGCACTCACTGCAGTTAGTAGGGCACAGGTCGACAGTGAGTCGGCAATCGGCGGTTCCGTTTGGCGCGGCTTCGGTTTTTAAATAAAAAAAATAAAAAAAAAAAAAAAAAAAAATTTGTTGCATCTGAGCCTTGGTGACAGTGGGCTGCAGCCAAGTGCAGCCCACCATTAAATCCGCCCCTGTATGTGAGTAATTTTCGCAAGTATAACTTCAAATGAAGTAAAATGGTAACCAATTATCAAATCAAATTGTGGTTTGTAAATCTACTATATTAAATTACGAAATCAAATTAACACGATCGAGAAGATTATGAGATTGATAGTTAGGATTTCCAAATTCACTTAGGTTATTTAACATGCACCTAATTCCAATTCATTCAGCCACCGTTCATACGTGTCAACGATGAAATTAATCCAATGTAGCTAGTGATCTCTCGAACAACACTAATCCTATTTATACTCCTAAATTTACTATCTCTATGTAAATTTAGACACATACGAACACATTAACCTATAGGAATTCAAATTGGATTGTATAACCTATAAATATCTTTCGATCTCTTATAATGACCCTGTTTGAACCCCATTAATTTCTTGTAATGTATTATAGAATAATAAATTAATGGAAAATGTATGAGTAAAAAAAGGAAATTTTTTTTATTTGCGTGTAATATTATTTTAATGAAAAATGTGTGGTTGAAAATGAGTATTATAAAAAAAAAAGGAAAGAAATGGAAAAAATGGGGCTCAAACATGGGCAACACCTATCTTAATTATTGTAAGAGCTAAAATCATACATAACCTCTTGATCTCGGTATTATCCCTAGATCAATCAATTGTTGCTAGGCAATTGAAGCATGAATAAAACAATAAATAATTGACACATATTGAAGTGGCATGAAGCCTTGCAATTAAACAAAATATTAAAAATCCTAAGCTACATTGTCATCCTGACATGAAAACACTTAGCCACTCATAACAATGGAATTAAACAAATAAAAGTTAAAAGACATCATCAAGTTCAATTACAATTAATAACATAAAAATAACTTCGAGCTGTTGTCGATCCTTAGTCACACGAATTCCAACAATATTCTTTGTCTCCTTCCTTGCGTAGTATAAATCTCCCGACTATTTTCAGTAATTCCCCAATTAAAATTTTGATTGCCCAGCCAAATTTGGAATTTTTCTCTTCTTTCTTTCTTTTTCTCCCCCCGTCCGAGTCATCTGGGTCTCCTTAATCTCCCTTCTGTCACAAGCTGTTTGTAGTCCAAAAGGATCATGCTGCCTGCTTTTGTTTTCTTTTTCAATTTCCGAATTTAATTCCAATTGCAAGTCCAAGTAGCCCAATCGAATATAACATTTCTCCCCAAGGCCTCCACGCTTTCAAATGTTGCAATTTAGTCCATCAACTTATAAAGTGTGGGATTTTATTCCAAAAACACAACTTTCATTCGACATTGTCCTTCTTGATCCGATTTCGGGTTTTCTCTTAAAATAATCCAGAATATGTAAGTAATGAAGTATTAAATCCAAAATAACGCTGACAAAACCCACTTTTAGTGATTTAAATAAGTGTAAATTCAACACTTATCAATATACCAGATATGTCTACAACAATTATCAATATACCAGATATTTATTTTTATTTCAATTCAACAATGTCTACAACAATTATCAATATAGACAAAATTCGATCTAATCCTGAAAGAACCAATGTAACTCGTGACATGCTAGATGACATCGTCTAGTGTTGAAGTCATTTTCTACTATGATATTTGTCAAAAATTTAAAAGTGGGGGAATATTATAGTAATCCAGTTGTTATAGACGTTTGATGTGAGCAGAAAATTCTGTCTCCTTTTCTATTGCAATTCCATTTCCAAGAGTAGTTGACGAGTCCAAACTAGAGAAAAAATATTCTTGACGGAGTAGCGAGCATTTTTGTCAATGTCGATGGGGTTGGTTTCCTACTCCAGCTGACTCATAAAGGGCCACAATTATGCAACACGTGATAAAGCGGCCAAGTAAAGTTTCACCTTCCTCGGTTTGGGGGACAAATTTCATCTCACGAATTTCATTATATATTTAGTTAATAACACAATAGAAATTGAATGACTAACATAAAAAAACCTATAAATCAAGGGACATCTAGTGAAATTTTTCCTTCCAAAATTACCCTTGGAGTACGTGGCTTAATACAAGCCACCTAAAGACATGCAAAATCAAGACCCTCCTTGAAAAAGTTAAGTTTAGGCCGTACTTACGATGGAAAAAAACAACACAAAAGATCTATCCCCATTATCCTCAATAAATCCCAGCCCTCCATTGCCACCCATCCAACGGTTTACATTTCCTAAAATCACATAACCATATCCAACAAAATCACGTCCACTCATAAAAACACCAAATCTTTATCATTCTTGATCATCTTCTATCCTCGAGAATATCGAAAATGGCCTCTATTGCCCTCAAATCCTTCATCGGACTCCGCCAAATCACATCGGAAAACAAATCAATAGTTCTAACGAAACCCAACACCCAAACCTACCATAAAATCCGTATAAATGCCTCAAAAACCAGCCCAAGAGTCAACGGAAGGAACCTCAAAGTTGCGGTGGTGGGAGGTGGCCCGGCAGGTGGAGCCGCAGCGGAGACACTCGCTAAAGGTGGCATAGAGACGATCCTGTTCGAACGGAAGCTTGACAACTGCAAGCCATGTGGTGGTGCTATCCCACTTTGTATGGTGGGGGAATTTGACTTGCCACTGGATATTATCGACCGTAGAGTCACTAAAATGAAGATGATTTCACCGTCTAATGTGGCTGTTGACATTGGCCGGACCCTTAAGCCCCATGAATATATAGGGATGGTCCGCCGTGAAGTCCTCGATGCCTACCTCCGTGACCGCGCCGCCACTGCCGGAGCCACCGTGATTAACGGCCTGTTCTTGAAAATGGACCTGCCCAAATCCACAGGTTCTTCCTATGTGTTGCATTACTCGGATTACAACGCCAAAACCGGTGGCGCCGGTGAGAAAAAGACAATGGAGGTCGACGCCGTCATCGGCGCCGACGGTGCTAATTCCCGTGTGGCAAAGAACATAAACGCCGGTGAATACGAGTACGCCATTGCATTTCAAGAACGCATTAAAATCTCCGATGACAAGATGAAGTATTACGAAAATCTAGCTGAAATGTACGTAGGCGATGACGTTTCACCTGATTTTTACGGCTGGGTTTTCCCAAAATGTGACCATGTAGCTGTTGGCACAGGCACAGTAACCCACAAAGGCGACATCAAGAAACTCCAAATTGCCACAAGATTGAGAGCCAGGGACAAAATTGAAGGAGGAAAAATCATAAGAGTGGAGGCACATCCTATACCAGAGCACCCCCGGCCGAGGCGAGTACTCGACCGAGTAGCTCTGGTCGGGGATGCAGCCGGGTATGTGACGAAATGCTCCGGCGAGGGGATATATTTTGCGGCCAAGAGTGGAAGAATGTGTGCAGAGGCAATAGTTGAAGGATCGGAAAATGGGAAAAGAATGGTGGATGAGAGTGATCTGAGGAAGTATTTGGAGAAATGGGACAAGACATATTGGCCTACATACAAGGTTTTGGATGTTCTTCAGAAGGTGTTTTACAGGTCGAATCCGGCGAGGGAAGCATTTGTAGAAATGTGTGCAGATGAATATGTGCAAAAAATGACATTTGATAGCTATTTGTACAAGAGAGTGGTGCCTGGGAATCCACTTGATGACTTGAAATTGGCTGTGAATACAGTTGGGAGTTTGGTGAGGGCTAATGCACTTAGGAGGGAGATGGAGAAGCTAAGTGTATAAGGAAATTAATTGTGTTATGAGGGTTATTATTTTTGATATGTTACTGAAAGATTTTATTTTAAGATATGACAATGTATGAAGGATCATGTGTTGCTACCATCTGATTAACTTTCAGGAATCCATTTGCCAAAATTTATATATTGATTAAACTTCAATAAACGAAGCATCTCAAACGCTACTCCGTTTACGGAGGATTATATATATACACGAAATGATCTTCTAAACAATGATGCTTAGATAATGTTAAGCACGGGTAATGTGGCACACCATTTGATTGGTGAATAAGTTAATAATATGTCTCATGTATTTAATGATTTATCAATTGAATGATGTGCCACTTTACTAGTGTTTAACATAAACTAAGCATCAATGTTTAAAAGATCATTTTTATGTATGTGTATATATATAACGGTTGTTAAGTCTAGCTTTGCTATAAAAAGTTCGACTTCATCTCCCTCTTCTCATGGAAAGGAAGAATAGCGAGTCTAATAGTTCTTTCTTGATATATGGTCTTTCAAAACCAAATGCACTTCTTACTTGCTTTCATCATCGCTTTTTAGTTTTATTTTTCTGAAGGGTATTCCTAGCTTAAGATTGTAATTGTTTGTGTTCACTTTTAACTCCTTAGTTTTTTTTTTTTTTAAATAAACTCATTGTAAATTTTTATACTTTGTCATATGCCTTCCGATGATCAGTAACTAATAAGTTGAATGTAATTCTTTCAAGGTAAGTATTATTTTATACTAACATACTAGAGTAGGTGATAATGTTACCATTTATCTTTATATAAGCATTTTATAAATATAAAATAATAATATATTTTGTCTGTTGGAAAACAAAAGGGAAAATTGCAGCAGGTCCCAAACCTTTCAAATTTTTGCAGATTTACCTTAACTTTCAATTTGTGTCAGCAAAGGTCTCTAACCTTTAAAAAATATGCACCTGAGATCCAAATAGATAGAAACCGTCCATTTGACCAATAAAATTGAACTTTGACCAATTTTGACTAATTTAAAAGGGTAACTTTGCTATTTAATCCTATAAAACAATTAAAATAAATTATCAAAACAAAATAAAAATAATAAAAGGAAAAAATATTCATTTCCACCCTACCCCCAATTTTCGTTCACTTCAATCGATTCCTCTTCCTTCACCGAGGTTTCTATGCGAACTCTTCTGTTGGCTCTACTATCAACACACTGTTATTGTTCGACTGCACCTTAGCCCTAGTGAATGGTCCATTGTGGTGGATTATAGGAAATGACACCGGAAATGGCTTTTCTTGTGCCTTGCGCTTGGAGGAAATGGTTTGAGTAGTTGAACCACCGCTACTGTTAACGGAGGCAGATTTTTGCTTGTGGTCAACACCTCTTCGCCTTGAGGTGGGTTGCTCCGAGGGCATAGCCTCAGGAGGCTTCAACTGAGTTACGCGGTGGAGTTCCTGTACAGTCTCTTAGCTTTTCCTCCATCTCACTGGTATTTTTAGGCAAATTCTTCAGTGGCTTATGGGTGAGATGTATGCATTTGTATTTGTACCACTTAGTCGTTTTAATCTGTAATGCAGCCCACTGTTAATGGGGGTTAATTTTCGCATGTGGCCGCTGATACATACTTATTAGGCACTTCAACGAGCTAATTATTGATGAAATTGAGTAGATTCCTATTCATAATTGTGTAATTACGGTGTTTGTAGGCTAAAAGTCCAAATTGGAGGAGAAAAGAACTAAATGAAGGAAGAGGAGACCAAAAGTGCACAAAAACATGACTTGGAGACCAAAGTGTTCAAGTGTTGAAAGTTTGGGGACTATGGTTGCAATTTTGGAGGGCCAAAGTGATATGAAAATTAAATGTTAACGACCAAGTTGTACACGATCAAAGTTGAGGGGCCTTGTGTGCAACTAAATGGAGGACTAAGTTGGAAAAAGAAATGAAGAAAGCCCCCGGTCACGCGTGCAAGAAGCCCTTTGTGATCTCTTGAGGCCAAAAACATCTCAAGGTGTGCGTGCACCACAAATGCCCCGGTGCGCGCCGCTTTCTTGCTCGACAAATTTTGCCTATTTCGCGTAAATTTCGAGAAATCTTCCACAATTTCACTTGAGATGATTTTTGGCCATTTAAATACCCAAAAGTTGGTCACTTCTAGGGCAAGATCTATAGGAGAACACTTAGAAAAGCTTTAAAGGAGAGAAGAGGGAAGAGGGAGAGAATATCTAGCAAGATTTGAGAGTTTTCCTCTATTTTTCTATTGTCTTCTTCATTTTTGTAATGGGTTCTCTCTTTATTTTCATTTTTTTTTTGTTTCTATTTTGCAATGGGCTAAGTGTTAAATATTGGGATTTATGATGTAACTTAACACAAGTTTCTTTAATGTCAATATTCATCGTTTAATGCTCTAATTACTATGTTATCGAGCATTTATTATTGTGCTTAAGTTTTTATCATGTATGTGGCCAATATATGATTGATTTAAGTTGTTTGTGCAACTATTGAGAGATTGTTGTGCATTCTTGACCAAAATAATTAATGCCCTATGTTGTTTTAGAAAATAGAGATATACTCCAAACCCCAAGTGATCCATTGAGTTATTTTCATAACGATTTAATGTGGTCGGTTGAATTTTTATCAACATAAAGATATAGTAGATAAAACCAATCAATTATGATTAATTTCGCTCAAGAGAGCTAATTAACTGAAAATCGAGTTTAACAATGTAACGAAGTAATTTGCATTTTCTATTTGTTGCAATATTAAAGAAACGACTGTTAAAAGACATCGTAAATCCCAACTCAATTATAAGTCAAATTTCCTTTTCTTCAATAATTGTTATTTTAATTGATCTTCAAATTCATTTTCCTTTCCTTTTCACATATAAAATCTAATTGTGTTTTTTCAATTGTGAAAATTGAGTCAACAATTGTATAATTAATTAAAAAAATTCCTTGAGGGATCAATACTCGGACTCATAAGTCTACTTTATTACTTGAACGCGCCATTGCACTTACGGTATATAATTTTAGCTGATAGCCACCGGTGAGTATCCGCCATTATTCAAGTTTCCGGTAGGGTGGGAGATGAATAGTTTTTCCTTTTATTATTTTTATTTTGTTTTGATTATTTATTTTAATTGTTTTATAAAATTAAATAGCAAAGTTACCCTTTTACCGTTTTAAATTGGTTAAAGTTCAATTTTATTGGTTAACTAACGGTTAAATGTACAGTTTTTATTCATTTGGATCCCATGTGCATATTTCTAAAATGTTAGGGACCTTCATTGGTATAAATTAAAGATTAGGGTAAAGTCTGTAAAAATTGAAAAGGTTTGAGACCGCTGTTGTAATTTTTCCAAAACAAAAAGTAATTTATTGTGAACAAAATATAAAAAGATAGTGAATTGGTGATCAGAAACAGTGCTTTACAAAATAATAATAATAATAATAATAATAATAATAATAGAAAGAAAAAGAAAACAGAATTCCATTTCGAAATATCCTAAATATTGTCCTATGTTTACATTACTATCATTAGCTAGAAAATCTTATTCTGTCATACGTTTGGCTCACATTTTTTAAAATTCATTTTAGATTTCACTTTTAATTGAATCCAAAATTTTGACCAACTTTTTAATTACATATTTTATCATTTTTTATTAAAATTTATTAAAAATCTAACTTTCAGCTAAATCAAAACACTTCATAAGTTGAATGTGCACAATTTTTTAAATTGAAAAAAAAAAAAAAAAGGAATTAAAGTCCTTTTCATGCCCACCAACCATCCAATATATTTCTTTTTTCATCAAAGCTATCTCAGCCGTCCGAAACCCCAATTCCTAGGACCAAGATGTTTGGAACTATATCAGAAAATAATGTAGCGATTATTAGATAAAATTTTATCAATTTTTATTCTGCTTAAATTTATATGTCTTTAATGAAATTTATAATTTTTATCAACATTTCATTTGTAAATTTTGTCAATTTTTATTCAAATTCGACTAAAATTTTGTTAAACAACATCCTAGCATCACCTGAAAGAGATTCAAATATTTGAGCTTCAAATCCACGCTGTTCCAATCAAAATATTGTTTCTTTATTTAAATTACACAAAAAAGTGCAACCATACAACAAGTGAAAACATTATTTTTGGTAAAAGAAATGCAATTATTATTTATTTATTTTTAAGTGAAACATTTTACGTCGACAAAGTGTGTCGGTATATGTAGGTGTAGATTTGGTCGAGGACATACGGCGGAGAAACTTAAGCTAAACAAACTCATCAGTCAACAAATACACACACTCCAGCGTGTATTTGCGTGTAAAAAGCGGCTATTTAATTCGTTCGACCCATTTCGAATCACCCACCTGGAAAGTTTCTGTTAAAGGTTAACAAATCCTGTTTTGCTTTCTCTAATCTCTTTTCATTTATTTCCGTTCGGTAAGAATTTTCTGTTCTACACGAACCCTTCAGAAAACAAGGAAAAAAGAATTGTAAGTTAATTCTATCTGATTTTAAGATTTTGATTCTTAGTATTTGATTCTAACTCTTTAATTTGTAGATCTTGCGGTTTGTATTATATTTGTGAATGCGTATGTGTTAATTTAATACGTGGAAGATAAATTTATGGCACTTTGTTCTGTTCTTCCACCCAGATTCAGACATGAATTTTATGGGCAATTGTTTTTCTTTTGAACCTATTCCTTTATTAATTTTTAGTTATACCAATGGGAATATACGGCATTTTAACGTATATTGTCTGTTTAGCTGAAATGGTTTTAGTTTTTAGATTTATACTGAAGACAATTTAGAGAAATGCCAAGGCACTTACGGTTGAACGAATGCCTGAATTTGGGACCTGATTGTCAGGTGTATTAAGGCTTCGGTTCCATCTTGTTAATAGTAGCCCAAGGCCTCGTAAAAATCTTGGAATTTGAATTCTGGTTTGAGCTTTACATGGACGAATTGCTTGTCTTCAGCTCTGGTACGATATCGAGGCTTGAGTTCTATCTTAAAACATTAACCTTGCCCAGAGGAGTCGCCCAAATTTTTATATTATTTATTATTTTTATATTTATTCGATGTTGGGTTGGGTTATCCCTTTAAGGAGGACCAGTGATTGTGTGGGTTTTGTTTTTAGTGTAAACTTCCATTGACCAAATGTTTTGTGAAAATGATATGATTTGGTGCCTTTCTGATACATCATAGGTGATTCACTCCAAAATTGCAATTTGTGTTTAGCATTCCACATTAGTTATTTCTGTTTGAGTTCGAGTAAGTTTTATTGTAAATTTCCTTGAATGATAAGATGGTCCGTCAAAATGATAAGAGGATTTCTGCACTTTCATGATACCAAAAATGTGATAAATAGCAACACAAAAAGATTTCATGATCAATGAGCCTTTGCAAAGAATGATGTTGCCGAGAATCTGAAATTTCTAGCTTCATTCTAGAGATCTTTTAGCATATGATGCTTGAAGTTTAGGTTTGATTTGCTTGCTTAAATTGCCTGTATTTTTCTATTATGCTTTAGCTGTAAAGTAGGTCATGGAAAGCACTAATTCACTTGTCTATTTCTTAGAATGCTGCTGAATCGCAGCTATTACTGTTTTGACACGCTTCAAGCACTAATCTTAGTTGAATGTAATATGCTTCAACTTGGCCTTAATTTGTTGATATTGAAACTCTTCTACTGCAGTGCACTTGTAAATTGATGGTTTGAAATTGTATTTCTTTTAATTTTTGCAGGTTGTAAGATGGCAGCGACATCAACAACCAACTTTTCAATTGGACCTGCTGCATCTGCCAGCTCCAAACTAGGCCCAGTTTCACAGTCAAAGCCCTTTCGTATCAGATTCAATCCTACAAATCACCTACGGAGTTTCAATGGCCTCAGGACTGCTAACTCTGTGAGCTGTGAATCAAAATCATTGTTCTTAGGCAGTGAAAGCAGTGCAGTTCTTAAGCGCTCTTATATTGGTAAAGCCCGAAAATATAACATGATATCTTATAGAAATGTCCAGATTCAGGCATCTTATAAAGTAGCAGTCCTTGGAGCTGCTGGTGGTATAGGCCAGCCACTAGCACTTCTGATCAAGATGTCACCATTGGTTTCTGCACTGCACCTCTATGATATAGCAAATGTAAAGGGAGTTGCAGCGGACCTTAGTCACTGCAACACACCCTCTCAGGTATTGGATTTCACTGGAACATCTGAATTGGCCGCTTGTTTAAAGGGTGTAAATGTTGTTGTCATACCGGCTGGCGTTCCAAGGAAGCCGGGAATGACCCGTGATGACCTATTTAACATTAATGCTAACATAGTGAAGACCTTAGTTGAGGCTGTTGCTGATAACTGCCCCGATGCCTTCATCCACATTATTAGTAATCCTGTTAACTCCACCGTGCCAATTGCTGCGGAAGTCTTGAAGCAAAAGGGGGTATATGATCCAAAGAAACTCTTCGGAGTTACCACCCTTGATGTTGTAAGGGCAAACACATTTGTTGCTCAGAAGAAAAACCTAAAGCTCATTGATGTCGATGTCCCAGTCATTGGAGGTCATGCTGGGATTACTATTTTGCCCTTGCTGTCGAAGACAAAACCGTCAGTTACTTACACCAAAGAAGAAGTTCAGGAGCTAACCGTCAGGATTCAAAATGCCGGGACAGAAGTTGTTGAGGCAAAGGCTGGTGCAGGGTCCGCCACTCTTTCTATGGCATATGCTGCAGCAAGATTTGTTGAGTCCTCGCTTCGTGCTCTTGATGGGGATAGCGATGTCTATGAGTGCACCTTTGTCAAGTCTGACTTGACAGAGCTCCCATTCTTCGCTTCAAGGGTTAAGATAGGACGGAATGGGGTTGAGGCATTGATTTCATCAGACCTCCAAGGATTATCCGAGTATGAACAAAAGGCTTTAGAAGAGCTCAAGCCAGAGCTGAAGGCCAGCATTGAGAAAGGTGTAGGTTTCATTCAGAAGCAACCTGTGACTGCTTAGAGCTTTTCTAATGTTTCAATCATCGAGAAGAAATAAGGGATTTCAGCTATCTCAGATATGTTGATGCAACAGCATTCCAGTTTTGTAGACGACTTGAGAAATGTGTTCGTTCCCGTATCCCCCCTTACTACGTATTGAAGTGATTTTATCACCGAGATAAGAGTAACTGGTGTAATAGGATTTTGTTGTCACGTGAGTTATGTACTACTTAATGACATTGCTTGGAATGATGTCAATCGTTCATAGTCCATGGAATCTTGCATTTGTGTGGGGGTAACGTTAATTCACTCCTTTCAAATCAATTCTCGTTGCCTTTATATTGTGCTTACTCGCAAATAGCAAGATCAAACAAGTATCTTGTATTCGGATATCATCTCCTTGTACAACAGCTTGTCTTGGTTCAGGATCCAACGTTGAATGCAAGCTGCAAAGGATCGTTCCAAAACATCTCCATTAAATGGACTTCTAAAGCAGTCTTTCGGATGGGAAAGAATAATGCTGGAAAATCAAAGGCAGAATGGCATCCACTGGTTTTACATCAAAAACCAAAATATATCGAGACATTGTATAGTTCTCGAAGGGATTACCAAAGAAAAAATGTTTAAATAGTACCGCCTCACCAGTTGAATAAGAAAAGCTACTCTAGAAGAGGTAAAATATCTTTTTAGTTCTCTTCGTTTCTATTCATTTGAAAGAGCATGTGTCGACCATATAATAAATGGCGTTCGATCATGAATCAAATGGTACAAAAGAAGGAAGGTCAAGAAATTGCAACAGAAAATAGCATAAATTCAATGCCAAAACACAGTTTAGCAAACAAACAAGCAACGGACATCACATTTTGTATAGCTAAGAAGTTGATGTAGAAAAAATATCTGAAGATGTTTCTTTCTACCAATACTTAATATTTTTAATATTTAATTAAGTCCATCGCAAATAAAAAATAGACTGTTGCCTCAATGTCTCCACCTTCCTCCTCTACCACGGCCTCGACCATGCCCATGCCCACGGCCACCTCTTCCACCTCCACTCAGTGCCTTATTGACATCATGTTTTGTTTGCAGGTTTTCTGGCAAGGGAAGTATGTGATCCACACACTTTCTGAAGCTGAAATCATCAACTGATTCATCATCCCTTATGAGGAAGAAGCAACGACTTCTAAACTGAGGATGGAAACGAACTTGGAAAGCTTGAACCCCGTTGCCTATCTTTTTCTCTGGCTCCAAATGACCTTTCTTGAGCAACTCCAGTAACATAATGTGCTCATACTGCAATATAAGGCAAGTAAAAAGATAAACAGATCCAGCCACATTCCTGGAAACTTAAATCTAACGTGTAATTTAACATGCATATCAACAGTTGTAACTCCTGTATTCCAGGTTAAGAGCGAAACATTTTCTCATTGAAGACTAATATTAAACAATGTCAGCTAACAAAACATGGTAATGATCTCTACGGCTCTACTTGAATCTGAAAGGGAAGTAAAGGAAAAGAAGAGCATGGTTATTCTAAAAAAGTAAACAAACAAGCATAAACTATGAAACTAAAGTTCACAATTGTTTGTTTTAGTTTACTGTTTAAAATTCTAATACAAAACTTTCAAGTAATCATACTAGCCATCGCTGCCAAAAGGAACTCGAAGCCCAAAATACAATGTTCACCATTATCCCATCACAGACGGCCAACAAATTCTACATTCAAATCAAGACCATTAAATGATAGAGTCACAGACAAAAGAAAAAAAGCTTTAACAAATCCAGCTCCCAAATCCCTGCTCGGAAGTAATTCTGGAGCCATAGTTCAAAAGGACAATACTCATTCACGCAAATATGATCAGAATAGGGATAATTGACACAGATACTTAATCTTGGTACAATCAAAATAACTGATAGTTCTTACACACAGTTGGCCTACATTCAATATCCAGCTAGATTGTCTAATGAAAGACCAGAAGCACTTTAGATGTTCTACAACTATGAAAACCCCACATACACCAAGTTAAGATAAACAATCTGGTGCATGTATGATGCTGACATCTAAATTTTAAATTGATAAAACTTCTGAATCTAAGATTCATGGAGACAGCAGAATATTATAATACCCCTTTGATTTTATTTTTTATGGCAAAATGGTATTCAACTTTATGATGTAGATGTTCTGGAAAAGTAAAAACCTTTGATGTGCATCATAAGTTCATGATCAATACAAACTATCAAGTCCTAGTCTGAGCAAACCCAAAAAACAGATACATCAATGCATTTAGACAACAGATAAATTAAACATGCACCCTGCAAACCACCTTTTAATAGAATCCTAGCACTACCTCCAACTTCCTTACCTCTATTGAAGCAAAACTAGTTTATAATCAAATTTCTGCAGAAAACATCACGACTCTTGGGATTAACAATATTTTATGCCTTCCCATTTAGATATCTCAGGGTAGGGTCCCTTCACATGGGTGGATTGGACCTAACATACAAATCCATCCCCAAAATTAATTGATTTGTGACATTTTCTCATTTTCAGAGTTGAGACAACCCCAGCGCGTTCCCGTATATCATCCCATTGTCTCCAAAATTTTCACTAATTTCACAACAATATTCATTTTCTGCAAACATGTTTAATCATCTGAGCATAAGACAATCTTGCTTTAAGCACAGTTCCAATATAGATAACTTCGGCTATCGTAAACAATTTCCCCGAAACATCTGTTAATTTGATCAATAAATAATCCCTAAAAGGAAAATAAAGAGCTCAGCCATTAATTTACCTTATTCACATTGATGCTCGGAGGCCACGTGTGCAGAAACTTGTAAAAGTAATCAAACATCTCCTTGGACGATTCAAATACCTTTGGACCCAAACTGACCGGAGCCGACTCCACCGTTTCTGCTTCATTGTCTTCCAAATTCTCTAGCCGTTGTTCTTCGACTGACTTCTCGTCAACCTTCAATTTCTTCCCTCCATTCTCTTCCTCCTCTTCTTCCTCCCTGTTGCGTTTCGAGCCGCCGCTGTTTTCAGAAGTGGCTGGCGCCGAATCAGCTAGCGCCGGCTCGGATGCATCGGCTGCTTGGGGTTCGAGCTCCATGTCTTGCTCGATGGTTTCTGGAGCTGATTCGTCGGCCATAACAGAGGTCTTGTAGTGCTCGATAAACCCTAGCGTCTAGCTTTATAAACCCTTCCTTTCCTTTTCTTATTTGCCCTTCTCTCTTCTTTTCTTTTCTTTTACGGGTAAATTTCATCAGCAGTCACTAAACGTTTAATAACATTGTAATTAAGTCACTAAACTTAAATTTATTTCAATTAAGTCAATGAGATTCGGAGATCTATCCTGTATCGATATACATGTGGGTTCTTGATATTATCCACGCGCATATAAATAACAATCTTCTTTTTAATTTATCAAAAATCAAATTTGAATTTCATCGTCGACTTCTGAGCAGAACTACGACTTTTCTCCATCTTTAGTCTAAAGGATCCATTCCGAAACACTTTGAAAAAGAATTCATACATCATTTGCATTCAGGTACGCTCATTTTAGTTTTACCAGTTCTGTTTTTCTTTTTAGCCTTCAATACAATTCTTACTGAGATTTTTGTCCGTAAGCGATTGCCTAAATTTTCTGGGTTCTGGTTTTCTTTGCTTTTGTTTTTCCTTTACACACACACACACACACTGATTCTTAGATTTTTAGATTTTTTGGTTGGAAATTTCTAATCCTCGTCTTGTTAAAACTCTTTTTGGTAGCTGATAAAACTGAGAGAGAAAAGAATTTATTGTGTTTAGTAAGTAACAGCAATTGCACTATTATTTAAATACTTTGAACTTTATTTCTCATGAAAATTAATTTGGAGAGAAAAATCATAATCCCAAATTTTTTACAAAAATAAAAATAATAATAATAATAATTTTTTTTTAACACTCATTTGCATTATTTTTTTCGGAAATTATGAAATGAAAAAGTTTGTGCTTTAAATTCTGGTCTCTGGAAATCGATGGTTTGTGCCAAGTTAAAGTATTTTATTGAATTTAATTTTACTTCGGAGGTAAGACAAATAATATATTCACGTTTGTACTGAAGTGGTCTCAATTTTCATCAGTTGAAAAAAGATAAGGAAAAAAGAGTTCATTCTTTTAAGCTGCTTATTAAATTCATATTTCAAGTCTCTTAATGATTGATGAATTTTTGTTAAAAGTAAAATGACTTTGGTAGGACGCAATGGGAGAGCCCTCTGTTGATCACATGCCCGCATCATTGCAGTCACTGCAAAGGGGTGAGGCTTCTGCGGAGAGTTCACACCCTCAAACTGTTGCTCCATTTATTTCAGTAATTGATATTCAGGATGATGAACAACAACTAGTAGCTGGTGAAGAAGACTGTTTGATTCAAGTTATGGAATGTCGCATTTGTCAGGAAGAAGACAATGTTAAAAATTTAGAGATTCCTTGTGCTTGTAGTGGCAGTCTGAAGGTATCTTTGTGGGCTCAGTCGTTTTCTTTATTTGGGCAATTTTGCTATCTACTTACTTAGTCAGTACGTATATGTGTATGCCCATGTTCTCTTTATGATGGTGATGATATCAAAAAATCAAATGTAACTTCTATATGTAAGATGACTTTAGTGCTTATGGTTTCGTAGTCTCAATTTGCCTGTCCATGGTTTGTTCATTCGTAGATTTTTCTGTGACCTACTTCCTATTGTTTCTCTTCTTGTTCCTATGAAAAATCCAGTATGCGCATAGGAAATGTGTCCAGCGATGGTGCAATGAGAAAGGAGATGTAACATGCGAGATTTGCCAGCAGGTGTGTTAATGCTAATTTGTTTGTTTATTTGTTGATTTTTCTGCTTTTTGAGTTGTGATGCTTCAATGCTTAAATGCCCCATACAATATTTGTTGAGATTTAGTACTTTCTATTTCTTTTGTACAAGAGACCTGGCAATTGAAAATAAATAAAATCATGAGCTTATATACCCTTTTAGTTTTTCACACACTTCTTGTTATGGACTAGATTCCAGCTTTGAGTGAGGGTAAATATAGCCAGTATGATTTGTATTTCGGTGGTTAATCATTGCAATCTTGAGACCTGATGTGGAAATATATGCCAGGATTGTACAGAATATAGGTGTTGTGAGCTGTACATTTTTATTTTAAGCTAATTTGTGCATTTAATTTTCCCCATTGTACAGCGTTACCAACCAGGCTATACAGCTCCACCTCCTATCCAACCTGATGATACCACCATTGAAATCAGGCATGTTTTGAGTACTTGGTCCTTTCACTTATTTGATCAATTCATTAATGCGTTCTGGGTGAGGCTAATCGTTGTTTACCTATTTGATAACAAGCCTTTGGATGTATTGATATAGCAATTTTATTTAGTACTCCCTCTGTCCCACAAAAAATAGGGTTGTTTTCATTTTCACACAATTTAAGAAAATAATATAGGTTGAAATATAATCTTTTCTTTCATTTTTTTTAATATATCCCTACATTAAATAATTATTTAAATAAAAACAGTTCATATTTGTTGATAACAAGGCAATTAAATAGGGGCATATTAGAAAATTAAGAAATCAATTATACTTTCAATAAAGAAAGTGACCTATAATTTTGGATTGACGAAAAAGGAAACCAACTCTATCTTTATGGGATGGAGGGAGTAACAAAAGGTGATCTTGGAAGCTAACTTTGTGATATCTATAGAAGCAATGCTTATGAATAGTAACATATGTATTTTCCAGAAATTTCAAGGTTTCATTATTGTGTGTCTATGTAGATACGCAAAAAGCTAATCATTTGTCTGGTATTGGCCAAAGCTTGCTAACGGGGTGGGGCTGCGGGGGCTGCTGTTGTTGACATTGCCTTTGGGAGTGGATTTTTCATAAATGAAGCAGGGAAAGAAGTACTAAGTCTTGGGCCTGTGGATTAAACTTAATATTTGGGTATTAAACTTAATGTTATTTGTATATTGAAATAAACTGGATTTGTTGGTTGATGACTGAATGTCTGTTGATGTCAATAGTTGTCTGTTTCAAGTATCAACAGCTTTTCATCATCTTGATTGTGCCTTTTTCCCACCCATGTGGGGAGCACTATGAAAGATGCCAATGCTGCCCAGAGGCTATAATTTAGGGACTTGAATCATGCATCGCTTGTATTTGATTCTCATTCAATCTGTGTATTAGTCATTAGAGATCGCAAGTAATGATTTTTAATTGCTTTCTGTTAATGTGTAACCGTTGGTTAAGCTTGTCAACATGTATTGGATCAGAAAAAGAATAGGTATCTTTTTATGGTGCGAGTACAAATATTAGACAATATTGTTTTGTAATCTTTTAAATGTATGCAATATAAACATTTCTCTTTCAATTGATAGAAAATTTTGGAGGATTTTTCTTAGATATAGTTTCAAATAATGAACAAGGTGTAGCTGAACATGGTTTGCGATATCTAAGGTTGAAAAAAAAAAAGAAACAAAAATACTTCCTGGCATGGAAGAAGTGCATGGCCCACTGACGTAAATATATTGAATAAGGTAATGGTTTTTGCAAATGCAAAATTGGATGTCATATAACAAGAGAAGTAATTCCTGTTAGTAGTCAACTGACCATGGTGTGGATATAGGAACCCACAAAACAAATGTACTGCCATTGATATGAAATTTATGATATACCATGTACTAAATGGTGGTTGTGCTCGTCTTCTTTTTACAAATCCCAAACACTTCTGCAGCCCAAAGCATCAACCTTTTCATGGCCACATGCCGTTGTTTTACCCCATCAGCACCATAATCTCTCCATCACCATGTGGCTTGTCGCTATAACCCCTCTGCATGTCTAATTTGACTTGTTACAAAAACCAGATAATGGTGTAATCCTACGTTCAACTTCCAAATATGTGTGATTGATCAATGTTCTAATATTTCTTTGATCCCCACATTTTCAAGAGATAAAATTGTTTCAATTAAAAACTATTTAACATTTACTCTTGCTCTAATCTATTAGGCCTTCCTGTGAAGCAAAAAATTTTGCTTTTGAGTGACAATCACTTCCACCAATTCTTCGTAACGTTAGTTGGTTAATGTACTAAGTTGCATCAGTTTAAGTCGTTTGAACTAATAAACTCAGAAATTATACCTTTACAGTGGGGGCTGGACTATTGCTAGTTCTCCTTTGGATTTGCGTGACCCGCGACTTCTGGCTATGGCGGCAGCTGAACGTCATCTTCTCGAGGCTGATTATGATGAGTACGCTGACTCAAATGCTAGTGGAGCTGCATTTTGTCGTTCTGCTGCTTTGATTGTAAGGAACTGCTACTTAGTCTACTCACATTCACATAGGATTATATTATTTCTCCGATGACTTTAACCTTTTAAATAATTGCATGATGCTAATTGTAAGTTCTAAATGTTATGTTCTTGTTTCTTGTTATCTTTATTCTTTAGTAAGCATCCAGTGCACTGAAAGCCTTTGTTCCCTCCCTTTCACTCTCTTTTTGTCTGGCACATACATGTAAGAATACAAAGATATAAACAGATGCCAGTCCCCCCGCACCCATAACAACAAAGGCAGGAAGACGGAAGGGAAACAGGCGCTAATCTGGTTGCTAATTTGTCGCGTTGATAAGATTTTTTCCAATAGTTGGTTTGTACTGTTCACGCTTCCTCTGGGTTTATGAAAATTGAGATTCAACAAATATACCATGGTGTAGTCCTGTCACTCAATTCTATTTAATGGTCATTTTTCGCCAATTAGGAGTGAAGGTGGCAGAACAACTTGATCTTTGTTTATCTCTGCTGCCTACGTTTTTTGGGTTTCTCTATTATTTATAGCTTGGTAAATTTTATATTTTATTTTTGATTGCTTTTTAATCTATCTTCTGTGTCAGCTAATGGCTCTTCTACTCTTGAGGCATGCTTTAACATTGGGAAATGGTGGCAGTGCTGATGATGATGTATCAACCTTTTTTTCCGTGAGTTGAATTTTCTGTTTCTTCTGTTATATGCATGCCTACATGCTTTAGACTTGTATAGGCACGGTTGCTTACTCAATTTTGTGATTGACAATTAACAGCTTTTCTTGCTTCGGGCTGCCGGCTTCCTTCTTCCCTGCTACATTATGGCTTGGGCCATCAGTATGTTGCAGCATCGAAGACAAAGGCAGGTCAGAATTTTTTCCCCTAGGGAAGATGCATTTTGAAATTAATTACTGAGCATGGGTAATTACTGGATAGTGGTAATTCCATCCCTAGTTGTGTTTTAATGTTATTCTCTGATATGAAAAAATAAATTACTGAGTTAAAAAATGTTCCATGACTGCTGATATATTTCTTTTTATCTATTAGAAGATTGGTGACTCAGTAAAGGGTCACCCAATTCTATTTTACGTATATGTGGTAGTAAAGATGAGATACCGCCAATGTGATGATGTATCATTAATCTCCATTCGTGTTGAATTGTTTAACTTTTATTTTTTTCGAGTATTTACTTATTTCCGTTTCAACTCGTGTTTGTTAAATCAGGAAGCCGAAGCTCTAGCAGCAAGTGAAGTTGCTTTCAGGCTGCAGGCAGGGCAACATGGGGGTTTGCAGGTCACAATAGCACCCGAACCTGGAGCAATAACAGGACCAAGCGTGAATCCTCATCCAGAGCCCGTTTAATTAACTCTCAGCTTTCATACATCCTGCACACATTGACATATGAAGAACTGAAGATGACAGGTTTTTTCTTGTAGAATCTTGGTGTGTTTTCTACAGAACTCTGTATTCTGTTTCAGTATTTTCTTTTTCTCTGCAAATTTTAAACCAAACTTGCTCGAATTGCACCTTTGTTTGTATTCAGGGAATCTTAAATTTACAGAGCCGTTTTCGAATATATCGAGTATGACAGCGTTTGTTTTGATCAGATAATTCAATTGTCCGATCTGAATATCCAAGTATTCTGGTTTGAATGTTCGTGTTTAGATGGGGATTGATCACGTGAAGTCACCTAGTTTTGAGTTTGCTTGCAACTCCTTGTGCACCTATCTTTGATTTTGCAACTAAAACGAAATTTCTATTTCTATTTATTTCACGCAGAATAAATAAATTAAACAAAAGTTTGAATAACTTCTGTTAAGATTTGAGGTTCCATCTTAAAAGGTCAACCTTATTAAGAGGAGTAGTCCAAAATCTTATTAGTTGATCTATGTTTCCATCTTTAATCGATATGAGATTTCTATCTCTTAACATGCCCTTGCAAGATAGTGGTTCATTTGAGCAGACCAATTTTAAAATCTTATGTTTATTTATTGAGTCTTATTCGGATCGAATCATTTATTGGAATTTAATGGATTCTGATATCATGTTAATTTTTTATATTTCATCTTAAAAAGTCAATTTTATTAAGAGAAGTATCCCAAAATTTTATTAGGGGGTCAATGTTTTCATCTTTAATCGATGTAAGATTTTTATTTCTTAACAACCTCTACCTAATAATACAGCACAAAGGATGGTCCTCATGGGACCAAAGCCAAACTTCTTGTCTCTGCATGTGCCTTCTTGTCTCTGTCCGAATGCACGTGGCCCCGAGAAGGTGTTTTTTTATACATTTTATAGTCCCTAAACTTTTAAATTTATTTCTACCATGATGACTCCATCCATTTTCGTTAAGAAATAACATGGGCTATCGTGACCTGCTGCTGCAACGAATGCCAGCCTACAACTCAGGTTTTGCTCTAAAGGTAACAACACTAGGAAATAACGTGGTCTAGTCGCGCTTTATTAATCTTTTTTTCTTTTATAAAAATCGTTTATTTGGCTTTTATTTTAATTTTTTTTTTAAAAAAAAATTGTATAATTGATTAGTCGTGGGATTTACTAAATAAATATAGTATTTTATAATTTTAGATGTTTAATATGTTTAATTTTAATTATTAAATAATTTAGAATGATTAAAAATTTAAAATAATATTAAAAATAAGAAATCATTTTTTTTACGCCAAAACTCCTACAGCTATAGTTTGAAACTTGAATTTGAATAGATTGATCTTCATGCTTGACCTCACTTTCTGATTTTTTAGAGCAATGTATGCATATGATCATCAATGTTTGCCACTTCTGAATGTCTAAACAATGACCATTTTTCTTTGTGAAAAGTTAATTATAATTGGTTTCGGTACATCATATGCAGCCTACGAAAGAAAATAATGTTGTTTTCAAACACTAGTTAGAACTGAGCGAGCATTGTACGTTATTCTGAAATACTTTATAAATAATGTAAAAGTAATAATTAATACCAATTGATTCCACACAAATCTGTAAAAGATCCATGAAATTCACGGAAGTCATCACGTAAAAAATGTTCATCAAAATCTCCAAAAGTTCCAATTGAATACACCCCCTCAGAAGCAATCTTGGCTGAAATTTTCTTTGACTTTTTAATTATGATGAATGGATGTTATAATTAGATGAAATAAAGAAAATTTATGCTATTGATCCCCAGTTTATTAATGAGTGTCTAGTTGGCTCCTAACCTTTAAAAATGAGTATGTTAGTACTTAACCTTCTGTTATTTTGTAAAATCGACACCAAAGTTAGCAAACTATAATAATCACATAATCTTTACATATTTAAATTTATGAGATTTGCTTCTTCTTCTTCTATTTATTTTTTTAAAACTTAAACTAGTGCTCATAATTTTGAAGTGGTGTTTATACAAGATTTTTGCAATGATTTTACGGAGAAATGGGAGGAGATTCTGCAAATATATTTAATAAAAAGTATGGTAGTACCAACTTAGTACTCAAACAGTGTAAATGGGGGACCGACCCACCAATTTTTTCCGTCAATAATGTATACATAGGTCCTAGAAACATCTTATTGAAACAATAAAATTAATACTAACAAAGCAGATCGTTCTCGTTCGTCCTACATATGAATTTAATGAGTAATCATATTTCTTGATATAAAATAATCCAGTGATCTAGACACAAGAGCTAAGCCATTGAGCAAGTTGTCCAATATCTTATTGAAACAATAAGATTAGTACATGTAATAGGAAACCTTTGTTCTCATTACATTCTTTAATGGACCACCTTTGAGGTCTTTTTTCCCATATAAAGCATTCTAGCCATATTATTAATGATTACCAACTTTTATGTTATTTATTGCTACATAATACCCACACTTAGAGTCTGTATAGACTATTTTGCCAAAATGGTAGAGTTCGAGTAGTTATAAAAAGGTTTAGAAATATTATTAGTTTTTTGATAGACGGTTGTATGAAGAAATGCTTTTTGATGTTACTTCAGAAACGAAAAAGAAAAAAGGTACTTATTTCAAAACTAAAGGGGAATACTTTTAAAGAAACTTAGGGTGCGGTTGGTTTCCATTTTCATTTTCAAAACGATTTTTAGTTTTCCCCGAAAACGACCCATTTTCCGCGTTTTGAGCGTTTTCGACATTTATAACTGAAAATGTTGAAAAATGATAAAAAGTCGTTTTACATTTTCAGTTATAAATTTTAACTCGTTTTCGAAAATGCGTTTTCGAAAACGACGGACCAAACGCGTTTTTCGCGTTTTCGAAAATGGAAAACGGAAAATGGGCCGAAAACGGCAAACCAACCACGGCCTTATTTTTTTCACAATAAATAAAATTGTTCTAAAACTTTATCTTTTTTGGCATATGCAATCATACATTAATTAGCATGGATGATATTGCTCCAGAAATCCATGAAATGGCAGCTAATTGGACCTTCCAACAATTAAAAATCCAAACTTGAGATATCAAGTTTATAGTTTTCTGTTTGAGGAATTTCAAAATCTGAAAAGCGTCATAATAAAAATCAAAACCTAATTTTCATTTTTCAGTAGCAGACACACAAATGGTGCACAAACAGTTGGTTCCACTGGGATTTATTCCTATCTGGTACATATCCAAATACACTACCAAATTTACACTTTCTCTCCTCCAATACATATATATGGCATCAAACTATTAGTCGAATAGCTAAGCTGTTTTGAAGAAGATTTGTTTCTTCAGAACAAATTAGAAGTTTCTCCCAAGGACATGTCCACTATTTCTTCCTCTCCTTGAGTAGTTACATCATCAAGAAGCCATTTCTCTAGCAAAGTAAGAGGCATTTGATTGTTCAAGTCTTGTTTTTTTTCATCCTTGAAAACCCCATTTTCAGGTGTGAAATTCGCTGCAGCCTCACCCGACTCATCAGAATTCAAGCTAAAGAGGGAATGATGCCCCCCTGGTGTTTTTGCACTCATTTTCCCTTCACTAAGGTTAGAACTGGTTCCAACTGAAGGGTTATTTTGAGTACTAACTGGTCCTCCTTGGGATGATTTCCGCGAGTTTTTCATCCAGTCTTTGAGTAAACGAGCAATATTTTCTGTATTGGACGCATATGTAGATGTTTGGATTGGGAAAGGCTCTGAATCAGGCAAATTATTGTTGGAGTTTTCAAGGGATAGAGCCTCAGACAGAGCTTGTTTCACCCTATGAATATCAGTTTGAAGCCTCCTTTCCCACTGTCCTTTAGAGATTGATTTAGAAACTGAGTGCCTTTCTTGGATATTAGCATCATCACCATGTTGGAGCTTATTGAGTTTCTTTTTCAAGTGTGTGTTCCAGTAGTTCTTAACATCATTGTCAGTTCTTTCAGGAAGATAAGAAGTTATGGCTGCCCATCTGCACGAAAACAAATAGAACACAACTACTCATTTCCATGCTCTCTCAAAGACACTAAATTAATAAATTTGTCATTCTACATTAAGTGTTGGAATCCAATCTCGTCCTTGACTCTTCATGAAAATTGTATTTGTGTTCTAGGCAAGTGATGATTGATCTAGCCCTAATTTGTGCACGCGAAATGAATGGTATCATACCGATTTCCAAGAAGTTCTTGGAGGTGGATAATAATCTTCTCCTCATGTTCAGTGAAGTTGCCCCGTTTGATCCCCGGCCGGAGGTAATTATTCCATCTGAGCCTGCAACTCTTACTGCACCTAAGCAAACCTGATCAAAAACACCAAAAAACAAGAATTCGAGAATAATTATATAACAAATTATTCAAGAAAAAGACTGATCTAAACGTGTCATGGGTATTCAAGACGGGCGGTGGTGGAGCAGAAGTATATTAAATTCAACTCTTTAATGATCCTAATTCCTTAACAACCATAAACCCGAAAAAAAAAAAAAAAAGGTTTACCAGCGTTAGAAGGAACAGCCCTCCAATTCCCAGGTCCACGTTCTTGAATGTATGAAACCAGGATGATATCTTCTTCCGGAGTCCATGGCCCCTTCTTTACACCTAATTTATCACAGCAAGGTTGTCTGCCCATATTAAAAACTTATTCAAATCAGTCCTTCAGAAGGAGACTTTTTTCATACAAATTCTTTTCTCTCTAGTTTCTGAGGGAGGTCATGGTGAGTAGAAAAATATGCAGAGAGACAGGCTTCTGATTGAGAGTGCGGACTTTGTCTATTTGTGATATATAAAGAAGAGACAAGTACGTTGACCATTCATCGAAAATTGAGGGTAATGTGGTGCGGAAAACTATACCCGAATTAACTCAATATCATATTTTGTCCAACAAATATTGGGACAAAATATGATATTATAGGCACAATATGAAATATAGAGATCACAAAAACACAAGAAAAATGTAATTTATGAATAATGAAGACTTTATTATAATATATGGAGAATTAAAACAAAGATTTTGTGATTACACTATTTCTAACTTTTAGCGAGTTTAAAACAACAATTTTCTAAATTGTAAAAAGAGCCAAATATATATAGGGAATGTCCAATCCCTAATAGTATAGTTATAGATAAAAAGGAATGCTCACAATACGTCAAAATAAGAAACGGGTCTGGACCGGATAATTAAGCAACTCAAGTGCCCAGCTAGTGAAATTACGACGACTTTTATTTTCAATCCATAATTTGATCTCTTCAAGTTCAACACAAATTTCAACTTCCAATTCGATTTAGAAATCAACTAGAATTTGCCAAACAAACTTCGAATGAAATTCCAAATAATATTTCAAATAGAATTTGGGTCACACTTTAATTCTAATAAACTCAACATTACACGAATTCCACTGCAATGAACAAAATTTGAAAATTCTCCATTCAAATACAAAGTCCACTGCAAAGAATAAACTTCAATTCTTTAACAAAAATATAAACGAATTTCTCCATAAAAAATTTCAAACTGAAAATATTCTCTGTCTTCGCCAATCCAACTGGAGGCAAAAATGATCTAATAATCACCAAATACAGTTTAAAAAAGACCTATAACAGATTCACAATTGAATGCATCAAAAGAAGAAACTTGGCTAGAATCAACACCCTCAACCAGATTCAAGCCATCAACTAAATCAGCAAAATTGTGCTTATGTGTAGGGCTCAATTCGGCCCTTATACCCACGAGCTCGACTCGTGGGCCGAGCCGAGTTTCAGCTCGCGAACTAGTGGATTTTTTTAAATAGATAAAATATAAATACTCCTTCATTATTTGGGCTTGGATCGGCTACTTAAATTTTGAGTAGGCGGAATTAAAAATTGTACATGAACAACTTGTGACATATACAATTTAAAAAAAAATTAAAAGCAGTATAATAAAATAACAAATTTTGATTACTATGGTTAAATTAAATATCATTTATTTGACGACATAAAATTTTGACATATTTATCTTGTAATCGGAAATGAGTGTCCTGCCAATCTTTCATGAATATTAATGCTTCAACAATATCTTATTTCAGTCGGCTGCTGACTCGAACAAAACCCTTTTACTTGTACTAAAATCTGACTCCGAATCTACAGTACTAATTGGATGTGTCAGTAAATCTTTTGCAATTGCAGAAATTATTGGCCATCGTCGTTCGTACTTTCGCTAGAATTCAATAACTTCTTCGAAACTTTTTTTAATTATTTTGTTAGTATGGATATTATGATTAAAGTAATTAATTAATTCAGTAGGCAATGTATTTGAACTTGCCTCTGATGTTTGATTACATACAAAAGACAAAGTATTACTAGATGACCCTATTGCATTTACATCATATCTATACGTGTTAATGCATTCGAATAAAGTTAATATTTCAGCGTCATCTTCTTCAATATCAGTGTAAAGAATAGGTGCGGAGAGTATTCGATCAATATTTGTACCCATTCGTTCTACATATAATTTATACATTTCACATAAACTTTGTTCTAAATTATATACATGATAGGTGTATTAAAAGTTAAAACTTTTGAAATTTGAGCAATTACATATTTAGTTTCTGTTAAACTATATAAGGGGCCCATAATGCATGTTAAAGGAAATAATATACGTAAGTCTTCCAAATAATTTCTAAACTTTAATTCCATAGAATATATAATTGCCCTAAAATCTGGGTCAGTTTGTATTTATGAATTGTCTTTACAATTATATAAAGACATTTGACTACCATACAGGTAGTGAGATAGTAAATCCTAAATAAATATTTGTAATGTCATAAAAATGTCAAAAATTTTGAACTTTTAGAACTAAAATCCAATCGGATTTATTCAAAATAGCATTATCATCATTTCTAGTATGCCTATTGTTATAAAACTCAGTTATTAAATATTTAAAACCTTCGCATGACTTTAATAATAAGTAAATGGAGTTCCATTTATGCTCTACGTCACTAATAAATGTTTTAGCATTCATCACCCCAAATTCGGCAAAAAATTCCTCAAATATTTATTTTCTAGCAGAGAGATCGTGATATATATATTAGTGCATTCCTAATTATTTTGCATTTCATCTTTAATATGTTTCAAACTATCTTACACAATTAAATTTAAAATATGGCATATACAATGAATGTGAAACAAATAATCATCGAAATCAGACTACAATACCCTACACAATTTATTGATAACTACTTTATTAACACTAGGGTTGTCAAATGTAAAAGAACAAATTTTACTCTCGCAATAATATTATCTAATAATGGTCATAATAACATTACACATATTGTTAGCGTTATGAGAAAATTCAATAACTTTAAAAGTAATAATTTTTTACACATACACCAAAGTGGGGCTATGCAGCGTGCAACTACAACTATATAAGATCTTTTATTAATCTATTTCCATATATCCGAAGTTAAAGATATAATATTCCCATATTTTTGCAAATTCATAATCAATTGTTGTTTTGTTTGAAAGAAATATTCTATTGTATCTGAACAAAGAATATTTTGACTTACCCTAACATACTTCAGTTGAAAATATTCTTTTACGTATGAAACAAAATGTTGGTTATTCGCTATTGCTAGAGGTAGCTCAGCACAACGGCAAGTTTCACCATTCTCGTTCGAGCATTCTCATCTGAATACATCTATGTAGTGAGGGGCGAAGTCGTAGAATTGACGCTTGAACTAACAAATTGCAGTCATGTTTGATCGGCTTGAAAAAAGTCCATGTTGGCCGCATGCATTTTGTAGTAATGGTTGAGGTGGGTGGTACCAATAACTTTTTGCCATACCAATCGTTGTTGGCAGTATTTACATACTGTTTTAGACTTTTAGATTTCATCGATAACACGATCCATTGAAATCAATTTGAAATGATCCCAACATTTTGCCTAATTTTTTCCCCTTTCACTTTCCTCAAGCATCAGGAATGTCTAATTCAAGTTCCTCCTCCTAATCCTCTTCAGGAATATCAACGTTATCCTAATTAATTGGATTATTGCTTCCACGTGCAGCTAAATTTGGAATATTTTCGTGAATGGTACTTCATTTAGACCCAAAAATTGATTCTGATATTGACTTTGCAACGTTATAGGTGATTCACCTCCAACACCGAACAAGCCCTCAATAAATGAGTGGTTGGATTCATTTGTGAATTGTGATGAAAATAAAAATGTATAGACAACATAGTAAGTACAATGACTCAAGTAAAGAGTACAGAAAGAAAGTTATAATTTGTGTAAAATTGTGAATTCGTAGTGTAAGAATTGAATGCATTGATACTGAATAATTGAAATTAAAGATGAAATTGTAAAAATGAATGTAGTATATTGTATAATTGATAATTGTGGAAGAGAGTGAGAGAGAGACAGAGTTGTTGATGTTGTTGTGTGAAAAAAAAAATGAAAATTATAGGGGGCATTTATAGAGAAAAAAATCAGTGGCCATTATAGCAACTTTAAAAGTTTATTGACTGTTGCAAAAGGTCATTAAACTTTTGAACAGTGATTGAAACGGTCAATGTTCATTGCGAGCCACGAGCCTGAGCTTGTGGCCTAGGTGAGCCCACAAACGGTTTGCTCGAGCCACCCGCTCGGTTCGTGCTTAGGCTCATCATTTTGCGAGCGAGCTTCGTTTTTACGAGTCGTGTCAGCTCGACCCATTTGACACACTTACTTATGTGGAGTCTTATGGCAAAAAATGGGTATGTTACTAAAAATTGAATACAATGACACCATTGATAATGTTGGAAAGCAGATTCACCCATAACTTCTAAATTCGACTAAGATGTATTCTTTAAAAAAGACCTCAAATTAGACTCCAAAGGTAAACAATTCAACCCCAAATCCACCTAAGTTCTTAAAATGTGTTGATGGATCAAAGATTTCGTGTAACACTGCAAGACATATAAAAAGGAAAAAATATGGGGCTCCTTTACTAACCTTTAGGACTCCACCTTCAACATGACACATTTTTTGAGTCAACAGTAATTAAGGAGATAAGATTTCTCTTCAGATCTAAAACGTGTCTTACTGTATCAAGTGTTCTAACCGTCTTATCAAATATTTTTATCTAACTCGACCAATACCATCTACAAGATGCATTATTACCGGTCATTACAACATCTTTTGAAACTTTTTCATAGGTTAAAAATAAATCCCGATTGGAACATATATGAAAAGTGCAAGCTAAATCAAGAATCCAAGTCTCGTAAGGTTTGGAATTGTAGTCAAACATAAGTAAAAACTCTCTATTAGTGTTAGGATGTTCTGCAATACTTCTTTCCTTTAATTTTCTGATTGTTGATTTGCAGTCAATTTTGCTTTATTCTGTAACTTATAATAATCCTTTATCAAGTGCCCCTTTTTCCAGCAATAATTACAACATTTGAAGTTAGATTTCCTGCACGAACACCATCAATAATGAGATCATCTCTATAAACCTCAGATGCAACAAGATACCTCATCTTCTTATTTGAATATAGAGTATCATAGATTTCTTCAATGATGAGAGTATTACGACTACATAAAATCATGTCTTTAAAAGACATGTATGAAGCGGGCAATGAATACAATAAAATCAATCACAAATCTTCTTCATCATATTTAATCTTTAAGGTCACCAAATCAGCGACGATTTCCTTAAAAGAAACTAGGTGATCCTCAAAATATGTACCTTTTATCATACGATATGAATATAGAAGTTGCTTAAGATACAACCTGCTAATAAGACTCTTAGTCATACATAAT